ATTTCTACCCTGCAGAATTCCTTTCTTCTGTTATATTTTACCTTGTCCTTTGTATTTTGCTCCACTTTACTTTGATCAACTCCTTTACCTTCATTCAGTAAACACTAACTGAATGAAACACTAATTAAACACTGAGGTGTTTACCAAGGAGCAGGTGCTGTGCTAGAACCTGAAGAGAAGCCAAGAATGGCAAAACCACAGCAGGTAACAGCACCAGGGCCTGGCTTCAAGGACATGACAGCAGTCAAGGGGAGATGTAAAAAGGCAATCCGTCCCCATTGCATTTCCTGGACTCACTTTTTGTCTGATGTAATTTCCCATGCAGTGTTGGCTAAACATTCATTTCTGGTGACTCTTAGTGAATTTTGTAGGGATTAGAAACTAGAACCATGTCAAATATGTCTTGGACACAATTAGAAATAGTAGCAATGATATGAACTGATAACACTGTTGTGCTACTGAGTGGAGATCAGAAGAGTGAAAAAATTAGGAAATAGGAAAGATGGGAGTAACAGGGAGGCCCAAGCCACTTAGCTTGAGGTCCACAGGGGACACCTACACAGCCTGCTGTGGGGGAGGAGGAGCTGCTCCAGCCTTCAAAGACCAGCACCTGGCTCTTGCCATCCTTGAGAGAGACGAGATAGAAGGTAGGAGCTGCTGTTTCATGTGTGCTGACACCATTCTGCCCCTCACTCATCCAGGAGCAACAAGGAGGCCCAAGCCACACAGCCTGAGCTCCTCAGGGACCCCTGCCCAGCTTGCTGTGAGGGAGGAGGAGCTGTTCTGGCCCATGTGGTATGCAGTGCACCTCTGAAGTGGTCTACCACCCTACATTCTACTTATCTAGTTCAACCTCCAGCCACATCAGAAGCAGAAAGATCTGGGTAAACAGGAACCAAGCACCTGGAGACAGGAATTCTCTCTCTGCAATCCCTCTAGCAGTAAAAGGAGAGAATTATCCTCTGAAAACCTGAACCTAAAATTTCTACTGTGGGTTCCACCTTCCTACCCACAGGAGAGGAGGGAAACTAGAACAGAGTTAATGCACATGATAGGGAAGGGCATGAGCACACAACTCCAGATACATACTCAATAGAAGTAGGAAGAAGTGAGTATATTACCAGATGGCTAAAAATCAAAGCAGAGCCTCAAGATATAGGATAAAATCAGGAATACCCTCCCCCTTAAGGGAACATAATGACTCCTCACCAACAACAGATAAAACACCAAAGATCACAGAAAGGTCAGAAAAATAATTCAAAATGTTCATTGTAACAAAACTCAATGAGATGCAAGAGAAAACAGACAACCAATTCCAGGAGATGAGAAAATTCTTCTATGACTTGAAAGAGGAACCCCGTAAAGAAACAGACATACTGAAAAAGAATCAAACAGAAAAATAGAACTTCTGGAGATAAAGATTATGATGAAGGAAATCAAAACCTCCCTTGAAAGTATCAAGAGCAGATTAGACCATGCAAAACAAAGAATCTCTGACCTTGAAGACAAAAACCTCTGATTTAGACCAAGCAACTAGAAAGAAGACTAACCATTAAAAATTAGGACAACATATGGAAAATCCTAGGCAACATTAAATAAATGACTGCATTACAGGTACTCCAGAAGACAAAGAGACAGGCAAAGCCATCTCCTGAAGAACATCTTTCATGATATACTAACTGAAAACTTTCCAAATTTAGAAAGGCATGGAAACACCCAAATCCAGGAAATACAAAGAACACCAAATAGATGTAACATACCAGTTTGCACCTCATAGGCAAACTGGTAAAAATCAAAGACAAAGACAGTATTCTAAAAATGTCAAGAGAAATGCCAAGTTACTTACAAAGGTTACCCCATTAGACTAACATCAGATCTCTCAAATGACATTCCAGGCAAGGAAAGAGGGGGAAGACATATTTAAAACTCTTAAAGAGAAACAATTTCACCCAAGAGTACTATACCCAGCAAGATTATCCTTCAAATGGGAAGGAGAAATAAAATAATTCCAATATAAATATTAAAAGAATTCACCAAAACTAAACCAGCTCTTCAGGAAATACCTAAGAGAATACTACACCAGGAAAACAAAGGGAGATAAACAGAAGTAAGAGAAAGCAAAATAACTAGAAAAAAAAAAAGGATAGGTCCACACATATTGATAATAGCATTGAATGTCAAGATTAAATTTCCCAACAAAAAAGGCTAAAAATGCAGATTCAACTACCTTACACACAAACATGATTAAGTACAAATTTACCAATTATTTGATAGTTAGTTGTCTGCACAGGTTTCAATTTTTTTTATTTACTTATTTATTATAACCATTACTCATTGTATAAAACTAGGTAACATAGGAAAAGTCCAAAATGTTACAGTTAACTGAGTCTTTCTTTGGAATGGATTTAAAGAAGGCTAAAATCAAGAACTTTGTAAAGTCCATAAATCACCAAATCACTGACTTTGTAAAGCTCATAAATACGAAGTCACATGTATTTGCTTTTAAACATCTCTTTCCAATTTTGTTTTGTTTTTGCTTTTTTTGAGGACTTATTTCTTTTTGCACAGTACAGTCCTATGGTCTTACAAGAACTCATAGTAAGTGAGTAAAAGTTTTCTTTTTCTATCTCTTCCTAATGAGCTATTGTTAAATACAATTTTACCTATTGCTAATTTGACCAGTGATACCACAGATCTTTTCAAAATATAAACTCTTATCTCCCACAGTCCTCTTCATGGAAACTACAAATTCCTCATTCTTTGGCTATTTTTAGATGATCTTTGTTTTAAAAAATCCATCCTCATTACTTTATAAAACTTTTTGTTGTCTGATTTTTTAATCAATTTGTTTTTTCTTAGAACTATATGTCACAGTAATGAACATCATAGACAATTCAGTACATACTTTCAGAATAACCAGAGAAGTTGGTTTCAAATGTCCACAACATAATATGATGTTAAATGTCAAAGGTGGTGACTATGTTTTTATCATCAATTTGTTTATTATACACTGTATGTGCTTTTAAAAACCAAAAAGAAAAGAGTGAAAAATTCTTTGTAACAACTTATTTCACAGTGATAACACTTTATTACTATTTTGAAATTCACTGCAGCTATTTTAGCAGTTACATAGATATTTTCCCTCAAATGTTTGCAGGATGCATAAGAAAGCATTTCTTCAGCCAAGAGGGACTCACCAGAATGAGGTCGTGGGAGCACTTTGATACTGTTAGGAGCTGGTGACACTCCCCTGACAGGGCTCTCCAGGGCTGCAGGGCTGGGCAGGTAACTGCACTCGGCTGGTTGTGTCTCATGCTTTGAGTGGCTAAACTGGCTAGAGCCCCACAATGTTTTGGATATGTTCTCGTCATCATTTACAGTGCAGATTGGAATGTTATTCAAACCTAGGTGAGAAAGGATAAAAAAAAAAAAATCAAACAACCAGATTAGGTTTCAGTCAGGTTTTCTTTGAATGATCACTAATTTTCAATCAAATATTCAGACCTTAAATTGTATGAACCGGTGCTGGGCAGACATTCTTTGGAATTAGTGTAGCCAGCTTTGTCTGCAACGCACACTTCCTTGCACTCCTGCCGTGTCATCAGTGACAGTGGTTTTCAATCTCACTTTTTCCATCACCTCAGGAATATGATACATTTCATTGCTGGGAGCTTGCTATGGTGGCAATTCTTATTGGGGAGGTGATTCCTCTGTCTTAGAATCTTAGAAATAAGAATCCCACGTGTGTGTGAGGATCTGTTTTGATTAAGGATGTTGAAATGCTCCTTGGTGGGGTTGGGAGAGTCATACAGTTACCCCATTCTGGGGGGACTGAGTGGTCCATTCTATCAAGTCAAACAGTTCTGCACATCTCACAGACTTCCTAACCTTTAGAAATCTAACCCTTGAAATATTGATTCTTTTCCTGTTTGTTTTCTCTAGAACCCAAAATGTGTGTAAAAATTACAGACTTTAAAAATCTTCAATCCAACCCAAGTTGAACTGCCTCTCTTAGAAAGGAGATACTCCCACTGATGTTTCCAGGTAGTCTGCTGTGTAAAGTTAACATAAAATGAAGGAAGGTGGGAAGGAAAAAAAAGAAGGAAGAAAGGGAGGGATGGACGGAAAGGGTGGGAGGGAACATCTCCCTCCCTGGAGTTACAGGCAAGGCTGTGCAGGCTGTTAAGCTATCGAAATACTTTATACCAGTTGGTCATGGTGTCCTGAACTCCCTGGAATGTTCCCACTGCTCTGGACACTTTAGCACCTTTCCAGGCCTCTATCCTGATGATTAAGCAATCCAACCATTAATGTCTGTCACAGAGGGGCCTGCAAGCTTTTGCTCCAGCTCTGGGGCTGGCCTTTGGCCCCCAGTAGTTAATGTCCATGCCTTACAGTGGCTAAATATTTCAAAGAGTGGTCTCATGTTTACCTGTCAGAATCATCAAATAGCCCAGATAGAGAATGAGACCTCCTAGGGTGGTAAGTCACCTTACCTTTGATGTGGCAGACTCTTCTGGGATGAGGGGTGTGCCTGACTAGCAAGCTGCCTCCATTTCTTGACAGAACATGTCTGCCTTTGCCCTCAAACTGAAGAGCGGATGTGGGGAGCTTGGTGTTCATATTCAGTGTGTTGGTTTCCCCTGTCCACTGTTGCTGCAAAGGTTCTTAGGGGCTAACTCGACTGACCTAACTTCCAGAAGTGCGTGGACCCTGAAATGACAGAATGACAATTGTTCTGATGAGATTCTTGATGTTTTCTTATACATTAAGCATTACACCATCTTCTCTGTACCTAATTGTTCCTAAAGTCAAAGTAATGTGAGGTTATTTTGCTTTCAGACCACATTTTTTGGTAAATATTGAAAACAATATAAGCATGCATGGAACATAAAAAATTTCTCCCTGGAAAAATCAAAGTATTGGTGAAAAACAATGAAGTATATTCTATTTTTTTACTTTATTTATTTATTTACTTTACAATTAAAGTATAAATTTATTTTAGTACAAAAACTTTTTGAAATTCTTACATAATTTTCCCATTACACATATTTCCATGAACTTTTTTATGAAACATTTTTTAATTAATTAATTTACATTCATTCCCTAAGCATCATCACAGTATACAAAATGTGATTTCCTATCCAGAATATACTGCATAGTGGCTTAATCATGCATGTTATCATCAATAATTTTCCACTTCTAGTTTCATATATATATATAGATAGATAGATATAACATAATATACTATATATAGATAACACTTTGAATATATTTTCCCGTGTGTGTGTGTGTGTGTGTGTGTGTGTGTGTATAAAACCCCTATTTCTGACCCTCTGCCCTTTCCCACTCTCCTCCCACCTTACCTCTGTTGTCTAGAGTTGTTTTCCATTCCTTTTCCCCCCACATTTTATTGATCTCACAATTCCTTATATAATCTAACTACTTTCAATAGCAAGTTCAGCTGGTAATTTCAAGAAAAAGCAGTTTTAACTTCAATAAATCAAATAAATGCTAAGAAACTTTGCTTAAAACTTAAAGCCAGGAAAGAGATTAGGATTCCGTTCAAATAGTAGGTACATGAACCTACTGACAGCTCAAGACAGGACAAAAATCCTTACAACCAGAAGAAAAAGCCTAGAATAACATCAACAATGTTTTAGTCAGAAGTCATAAAATGCTATCTTACCAGTTCAGTCTCATGTACTTAATCTATCTTCTGTTGTGGTTCGATCTTCCCGACTAAATTCTGGGATACAATATTAAACTCCAGACTTGTCCCTATGATTAAGTTGGCTGTTTTCTTAGTTTTTAAACTCTTATTTCTGTGTGTCTGTATTTAATTTTCCTGGAATAGCACTCCCTTGAGAATTTCTTGGAGATCTGGTCTGGTGTTGGTAAATTCTTTCAGGTTTTGTTTATCTGAGAATGTTGTCTTTACTTCCCATATGAAAGATAATCTTGCTGGGTATAGTATTCACAGTTGAAACTGCTTTTTCCTTAACACTTTGAATATATTTCCCCAATCTTTCCTCACTCACATTATTTCCGATGAGAGGTCTGCTCTTAGCCTGATGGGATATCCTTTGTAGGTAACTTGCTGTTTTTCTCTTGCCAATCTTAGTATCTTGTCTGTTTGTGGTTTTGGTCAATCTGGCTATAATGTGTCTCGGAGATCTTCTTGGGTTGATTCTATTTGGAGTTCTTTGTATTTTGTGGGACTGGATTTCTGAGTGCCTCTCTAGGTTTAGAAAGTTTTCTTGCAGGATTTCATGGAATAGATTATCAATGCCCTTATGAGTCTCTTCACCTTCTGGAATACCAATTATACAGATGTTTGGACTTTTGCTGGTTTCTAGTACTTCTTGTATATCATTCTCAATTTTGGGGGCAATTCTCTCAGTCATCGTGGTGGGTTTTTCTAGGCCAGCAATTTTATCTTCTACAGCTGAGATTCTATTTTTTTTCCTTTTTTTTTTTGGAGAGGTTTTTAGCTATAGGACATGTGAGCTTGCCAGAAAGACAGAGAGAGACAGAGAGACAGAAAGTGAGAAATCACCCCCCAGGGGGATGGCCACGCTGCAATCCTTTCTCCTCCATTCTTCTCTCGGGATCTTGGGCATGCATGCATATGCGCCTGGTATGACTTTAAGCCACTGGGTCCAGGACTCAAACCACAGTTGACTACATGGGTGTCCAGCAACATAGCCATTACGCTAACTGCTGGTCCCAATAATTCTTTAAAGGATCATTATTCATGGCACATTTATAAATGTATCCATAACTTTGTTTCAATCTATGGGACCCAGCTGTGATACTGGGTATCACTGGCCATTGTGTTGGTGAATACCTCTAATATTGGTTACAGCAAAATTTTTAGTCTATTACAAAATAAATGATATATTTCTGATTCTTTAATAAAGATAATACATATTCATCAATGGGTAAATAATTTATTTCCTGACATTCATCTCTTTTAATTCCTATTTTTAAAATATGTTCTTTTCATATTTCTCATCTTTTGGGGAAAAAAATCCACCCTTTTGTTTGAGGAATGATTCTTTCATTTCTTCTAAATTTTTAAGTCTTAAAAAGTTAGAGGTTGGGGCCAGCAAGTGACATAGTGGTTAAGTCGCTGGACTCCTACATAGTCTACCATGGCAGTTTGAAACTCATGCCAGGCTCATGTGCTTGCATGCCCAAAATCCCAAGAGGAGAACAGAGGAAAAGGGATTGCAGTGTGGCCATCTCCCTCGGGGAATAATTTCTCGCTTTCTGTCTCTTTGATGTGCATATGTACCTTACAGAAAAAAGATCTCTCTCTCTCAAAAATAAAAAGAAGTTACAGGTCAGAGGCTAGCAGGTGGCATGATGGTTAAGGCACTGGACTCCCACATGGCCAACCACAGTTTGAGTCCAGACCTGGTGGCTTGCCTTCTCATTTTCCCTTTCTCTCTCTCTGGTGAGCATCCATGCCCTAGAGCAAATTAAATAATAATAATAAATAAAATAATAAATAAAATTAAATATTTGTTTAAAAAGAAATAATAATAATAAATATAATACAATATAATAAAGTAAATTAATAATTCATTTTTTTAAAGTTATAGGTCAAACTTGGTGTTTGTCATAAGCAGATTTCTTAAAATGCAAATATTATTCCAAACTAATTCATGGACTTTGGAAGGACATCAGGTAGAATCACTAGGCAATGCTCATCAGCGTATTGCACTGCAGAGCTGGAGGCCACATGCCTTCTGTGATCCAAGTCCTCGGCCTGGTCAATTGGCCTGAAAACATGACAAGAGCATGCATCTGATCTGTGCCCAGGATCCTGGCTGGCTACAAGATGGGAGGAGGGGGATTGCTGTGCGACCGAGCTCTGGAGAGGGTGCTGCTCTCTCTCAATCTTTTTTTCTCTCTCTATTTCTCTCTCTCTCTTTTTTTTTTTTTTTTGGAGAGGTTTTTGCTATAGGGCGCATGCACTTGCCAGAAAGACAGAGAGAAACAGAGAGATAGAAAGCAAGAACTCACCCCCTGGGGGGATGGCCACGCCGCAATCCCTTCTCCTCCATTCTCCTCTTGGGATCTTGGGCACGCACACATGCACACATGCCCAGTGTGAGTTTAAGCCACCGGGTCCGGGACTCAATCTGCGGTCGGCTACATGAGAGTTCAGTGACATAGCCATTATGCTAACTGATGGCCCCTCAATCTCTTTCTCTTGTGTGTGTGCACACATTTTATCACAAATGGAAGAAAAAAGGACTCTTTAAACATAACAATTAGCTGGGTGAGCCAGTAGAGTGATGGTTAGGTCGGGCAGATCCCACATGGCAGACTCCGTGGTTTGAGTCCGAGGCCTGGCAGCTTGATGAACATACTAGGTGCTTGTGCAGGTGTGCTTCAAGGTGGGAGAAATGAGAGAGAAGGGACTGAGCATGACCATTTCCCCTGGGCAGTGCTTTCTCACTTTCTCTCTCCCCCTCTCTCTCTCTCTGTCTCTCTCTAGTGAGTACATGTGCCCTATGACAAATTTTTTTTTAAAAGATAGAAAAGTGAAATAATCATCAATCTAAAAAAAAAAGTATTAAAATCAGTGTAGACATAAGGTAGAGGAAAAAGCTCTGGGCTATTATTGATATTAAACAACATAGCAAAAAATCTAAGAAATAAAGCAATTAATCTGTGATTACTTTGCTGGTTAAGGCAAAGCTGGGACCATAAATCCCATTTTTTATTCTAGTTTGGTGTGCTTTGACTCCAAATTGCCCTTTTTTTTTTTCCAGTCTTGAAAATATGGACATATTTTTGACACTGAATTATTTTGCCTAAAACCTCTCTGCATGGTTAGAAAAAAAAGTGTATTTCCCATTTCATGTATGATGAATGATGTTTCCATATAATATAGAACACAGCCAGAGCTGAAGAAAACGTCCTTCTTAAATGTCAAGAGCAGTATACCATCTTCAAGGAAGGTTATAACTTTCTTGTATTCTTAATCCAGAAGTTTTCTTTCTCACACGGTGGTGAATTTACTGAGTCATAATATTATCTTTTTCCCTAGGCCTGCACATGTCTAATATATGTCTGCGGAATGACTGAGAGAATATTATTATACATCTTATTGAATACTGCAAACAACAACATAACAAAGGTCCTCCAGTTTATCATCCACAGGCCTAATTTTGGATTTTTTTCCCTTTGTCAGATTTTACCATTCTCTCAGAAGATAATACAAATCTAAGATACTGCTTCTCTTAAAGTACAGTATGAAAGGTCCTCATTTAAATCTAATTTAACATAACACGTATTTGTTGGTATTGTATGTTAAAGCCATTATTGTAACTTACTACATCCAAACTGATAAAAACAATCATATAATGTATATTTTTGTTGTTGATGAGCCAACAAAAGGACCTTAAATGCAATCAAAAGAATATATTTTGAGAAGAAGACTCCTTCCTCCATGGCTCCTGAGAACTAGTGATTTAGAGAAAAAAGAGAAATGAAGATTTTCTACTGATAATTCAGCCTCCAGCCCACCAACTCAAGTGACAGATCTAAGGGAACCACAGCCAAACATCCAAACACTATTAGGGTTAGCATATTCCTCAATATTCACTGAATCTGCTGCACAAAGGGATAAAAATGGCAGATCACCTCCTTCTGCTCGCTCCTGAACACTCTCAGATTGAACTTCAAGAATTAGG